GCAACCATGGGGATCCTTTCTAGGTGTTAGCCTGATAGAAATAACCCGCTCTAATACCAATTGATAGAAATTAAGGGTCCACCAAACTATATAGAGAACCAGGTTCTCTATTAGTTCTCATAGAACACACGCGCACTGAGTAAGTAAATGACACAATAGAGTTTTACGTGAAACTCCCAGCTTACGGGATCAAAAACCACGACCTACCCTTATAGGATTTCAGCTTCACTACTGAGCAAACTTTAGATTACAAACTATTGTAACCTAGGAATTAACCTCTTAATCCCTTGCTAACTTGCAACAACACTATTACAAGCCACTTTGTAATAACTCTATTACAAAGACTTTACAACTCGACTAACTCTAGCCAAGACACAAACACAAGGGTTTATGATTTACAAAGATTTCCTACACAATGCTTCTAACTAAGCTAAGTAGGAATTACAAGTAGAGTGCTTTAACAAAGATACAACACAACTAAGGACATGTAATAACTCGATACAGGGAACTGGTCCGTTGTTATGTTGTTCTTTGTTCTTGATGCTCTTGAGAGTCACTTGCAAGATTGATAGATGACTTCAGAGAATGCTTGATGAATTCTTGAATGTGCAAGTCTTTTGTTTTACCTTTGCTTGATATTAATAATTCATTTGTGACATCACTTAAATGATGCAAGCAAGTTAGGTAAAGGGCATTCCCCAAAAAAGTTGATTGTTGCATTGTTTTCGCACTGCTGCGTGTGCAGGCAACAACTTTACAGCTGGGGGAGTTGACTTGTTCAGTCACCTCGGGAACTGGTAGCATCTGTTCCCTCTGATGTTCCTTTGACTCTGAAGAGTTGAACCGTGTCTCCAACTGGAGACTTGTTGATCTTTAAGTTCTTGAGGATGTGTATCAGGTTCCTTATCTGGTTCTTAACAGTAAGTTTGTTAGATTATCAAAACATAACAGAGATACACATATAACCTATCAATGCTATGTGTATTGGTGCTCATTGCAAAATTACAGGGTTGTCACACGAATTTTTGTGGAAGTATACTTGTCCAGTTTTGCACCAAAAAACTGGGCAGTGAAGGTGACTTGTATTGAGGGTGGTTATGCTTTGTTCTCTTCTATCCAAGTGATCCATGCAATTTGCAGTTACTCAAAGGACCAAAATGGTATAGGGGTCATCACATGGAATTGTATAGATTCACACGCATGGAGGCAACATGTTGGGAAGCTATGATCACTCAGTTTGATTTCATCCATTTGGCTAGTTTTTGTCCAAGTTTTAGCTACTGTTTTGGCTCATAGAAGTGCTTATGGTCTAGTGCAAATTGTACTATCAAGATTGGGTATTATTTACCCAATTTTGGTAATAGGATTTATGTATTATCCATGGTTTATGTTCCTACATTTTTTATGACCTTTGCTACTTTATTTTATATTTTGGATATATATAAAAACTAGCCCTAGACGCCTTGCCTAATAGATTTGCTATTAAAAAAAGAGAAGCACTGAAGCTTAAATTATATAGGTAAAAGTAAAGAAAGTGAATACTCCCTTCGTTTCAATTTAGATGAATTAGTTTGACTCGAGACGGAATTTTAAAAAAAAATCTTTTGAAAACTTGTGGTCTTAAAAACTTAAGGGGCAAAATCTTTGTGAGGCCATGACATTTATATGGTTATAAAAGTTTCTCATTAATAGCAAAATTGGTAATAAAGAGTTTAAAGTTGAATTATTTCCAATTGTAGAAATGTATCATTCTTTTTGGAACAGACTAATAAAGAAAATGTATCGTCTAAATTGAAACAGAGGGAGTAATAATTATACTGGATATTTTCCCTCTTGCGAGATGCAAGATTGAAAATCGGGTACCTACCAACATTTGATTTCCCTTTACCAATTCTGCTACTTCTGATTGACATCAAGAAAAGAAATCTTTGACAAGCTAATATCTAGAATTTAACAAGGAAAAAGGTTTAGCTATGTTCAAAGTTCAACTCCTTTAGCTTGTTGCTCCGACTTCCATGAGCCGACAAATTTAAAAGTTTTTCTATTCACATTTGATAGCCGAAAAAGTATATAAAATTTATATAATTTTTATATATAACATATAGAATGTGTATATATACAGAAAAATATATTTTTTTCGACTTTTATTTTAACAGCAATTATATAATGTCATTTTCCCACAAAACAACGCTACTTAAGATGGCTCAACTTCTTCTGCTTGTCGCTCCATCTTCCTTGAACAGGTAAAACGCTACTAGAGACAAAGTCTTTTAGAAAGCGGCCAAGCATATTACATAATTATGCAACTCCGGTTTTGAAGAAAAACTTGAGAGTAACCTGAACCCGAAACATAAAGTTCGTACTCTCATATTGTTGGTCTAGTAGATAATATATGAATTACCCTTTGAAAAATCTTTTCTGCTTAAAAACACACACTTACTTTTCAAGACCTTGAAAAACATATATTTTTCTATCATACACACCCTGTAACTTTTCATAGTATACAAAGAAATCCCGACGAAAAATCAAAGAGAAACAAAGATCCAGGTGGATTCGAACCACCATCCTCCCAATCGCATAAGCATTGAGTGCTCAACAAAATCGAGCCCTTGGATCTATCAATTAGAACGAACAAACAGTATATCACCGAACTTAATCAAACAAAATCTCCATTCATGCATATAATTAGAATTTGGTAAACTACTGCTAGTTTCAGTGCCCGGACTACAACTCATTTTCCCTTGCTATAAATTTACTCTAAACTTGGAAAATAATTTAGAGATCCAACAGAAAATTAACACAACTCTTTTTTCCAAAAGACCAAAATATTGACATTTCAATGTGTGACGAATTTTTTTATGGAACCAGTAATTCAATTTTCCTATTAAAAGGAAAGACTAATTACTTCAGAAATAACTTGTAAAACCTTAAATTTCAATTCTCTTTAACAAAAATAAGCAATCAAGTCTTCCATCGATAGAGTAGAACAAAGCACAAAGCAAATGCAGCTTATTCACGAAAAGATTTTTAAAAAAAAGGTAATGTTATTAGATGTTGGTATTCAAAACTGTACTTTACTGTTCATCTTCAAACCTAGTAATAATTAATTTACCAAATATCAGACTAGGAAAATTCAATAAAAACCCTCATCTCCACCTCCTCCAGCTGAAGCTACTAATCGAATTTTATAATAAAGAATTGTTCACTAAAGTGCATTTGGGTCACAATGAGATAGCTGTATAATTCCCAAGCACCTGAAATGACAAAACTTCATTACAGACAATTAATAAAACTATAAATAAAAGAACTTCCGTAAAAAAAAAATAATATCTTAAGTGTTGATTTCAGTACTTCAAAAACCATATACTGAGAAAAGTAGAAAATTCTGGAATAGTTTCCGTAATCATTTTGGCACAAGACGACAAATAATTTGTTTTAAGAACAAGCCCATATTACTTTCTACTTTTAAATATCTGTTTTCAAAAAGAGACATTTTCATAAAGCACTATCTTTTGGTAGTAATTAGTCATCTATAGATATCATTTGGTATATTACGAATTATAGATACCTTTTGTGTGGTTATAAGATATATTTAAGCTATTGTATTCATGAATACAGTAGCAAAAATAGGCGTGAATCAGGAGAGTCCATCTAATCAGTTGTTGTATTCGAGTGTATTCGACTGTATTCATGGAGTGAAACATGAGATTACAGCTGGACAGATTATTGTATTCAACTGTATTCGACTGTATTCACGGTGTGATATAGGGGATTACACTGTTTTTAAAATGAAAAGTGAATCAATTAACATAATAGACTCCTAATATAACTCAACAAATTCGATTATAAAACACAAATTTTGTATTTTCAATTATAAAAAAGATACTCAACAGAAAAATACCCCAAAAATATAACAATCTTCAGAAAAATTATATAATACATTTGAATACATAAATTATATTAATTAAAAAATATATAAATACATTCATGGAATATAGCGAGACAATAAATATAATGAAATACATATAATACAGCAGGATACATTGAAATACAATGGAAAAAGAAAACAATGAATACAACGAAATACATGGAATACAACGAGATACATTGAATTACAATGAAAAACCCTAAAACCCTAATGGATCTATTCAAGCAACCTGCAGCAAAGCGACTAAAACGGGTCTTCTAAATTTGTGTTGCTTCATCAATTCCCTCAAATTCCACATATCCCTGCTATCTTTTTCTTTGTTTATTTTCCGTTCTAGTTGTTTGAATCATGATCCCTAAAGGATCCCGATTATTTATGCCAAAGCAGAACTCAAAGAAGAAGATGCTGACTTGCAAACAATCATGAAAACAGAGGATGGCAATTCTTTGGTTTTCGTTCATTTGGAGTACATAAATCGTCTTCAGTTTTGATATGGATTTCCATGGCGGTTGAGGGAGAGATACTGGCGTATTAAGAGAGAGAGGGTGGAGAAAAATCTGAAAGAATGAGAGAGAAAAATAATACAAAGAGTATTTTATGGCTTAAGAGCAAGAGGTAACCATAAATAGATATTTGGCTATAAAAATCAAAAGGTATCTATAGAATATAACTTTTTAAAAGGGTATTTATTTAAAATAAATAAAGTATTAACCTTTGCTATAGGAGGTAAAAATTCCTTTCAAAAACTATTCTCAACTAAGCAGCTAAAAAAGACTTCCATTTTAAAGTAAAAGATGTGGGAAGAATGGCAAACCTCGAAGACAAAAAAGCAAATTAACACCCACAAGTTAAAGATGAGTCTAGTAGCTAAAATCAGAGCAAAAATTTGGCAAATCATCAGTTGAGTCGAATATGCAAGACAGCAACGGATCCATCTACAAACACAATATAGTAATTACCTCAAGTGGCAAAGATGACACAATATCCATCCAATAAACCAACCAACCAACGGATCTCATCTATGCAACCTCAATGAATTAGCAAGACATAATCACTGTTTTACTTGATTTGCTTGCTCGTGAGGAACTTCACCCGTCATACAAAAAGGAATAAGTACTATCTAACAAAATAGTCCCATTATATTTTAATCAAAACTAGCAAAGCTTACTAGCAAAACCACGAAGTGTAATTGCAGACAGTGGTTGCTCGCCATTACTGTTAACCATTTCTTTGACAAGAGATAAATCAATATAAACCAGTCGAGAACCGATACGCAGGTTTACACACTTGACCAGAGCAAATAATAAAAAACTGTAATCAGCAATTAATTTTCATGTAACCAGGAGCGTAAGCACTTTCAGGAAGATGCAATATCTACAGGACAAACTTCGAAAATTGTTGCTTCTTCAAGCGCTATAATGGTGAAGAAAACTTCATAGTCGAAAACATATTTCACTAGATCCATCAAAGAACAGCTGTCTACAGGATAAACAACCTCTACACCAGATGTTTGCTGGTTATCCAACCAAAAGTAGTGATAAATCCCCCGCCAAAAAGGTAAACCAGGAAAAGGAAAGTAGAATATGTTCTCAGGATAGGAGAACAAAACCTAAATGTGGTATTTTTGGACTCAAAAAACCGAAATAAGTTTTAAAAAAAATTTAAGATGTTAAGGTAAAGCGCGCTTTAAAACCGCATTTTATATAGTTTGTTCACTTAATTTTTTTTACTTATTTCGATCTTTTGAGTCAAGAAATACACATTTAGGTTTTGGACTCCTCAGGATAGAGCCAATAGTCAGCCTCTCTACTTTTGATGTAAGACCATGTCAGTTGCAATGGTTTAAATTTGGCAGGTCATGGAGAAGCAACCGGAGAAATTTTCAAGGCAAGCAAAGCTTTCATTACTGGGTCAAATCATTCATCACACCACAGAAATAAGATTTCAACATTGTTGTAACAGAGACCTTGTGTCCAATCAGTCATAAATCAGGCTAAATCTAACTTTTGAAAATCAAATCCTGGAAAAATGATAACAAAGTACTCCCAAAACAATATACAATGTCCTGAATGAGATATTCATGCGACTCTACAAATACATGACTAAAATGGGTGAACAAGAGTAACTAAATGAATGAAATATTCATACTAGCCAAAACTGCAAATGATCCGATTGGTATGTCTAACCAGAATAATAAAACGTCAAGTTTTAAAGTTTGATTGAGACGGTTTAACAGAAGTGATAATCTATTTATAAGATTAGTTAAACTAAGAATCGAACTCTAACATTACATTTGAAAACAGGAACTTGAGATGTTATCTTATGTATCAAGACTGGGACGTTTCCGTGAGCTAATTAATCTGGAAAACTGACTGCTATTAGGCCAAGCACAAATGTAATTTTAATGAATAGAATTGGAATTGTACCTTTAGAAGAGCGTTGCGTCAGACACAAATGGCTAACGCCTATGTAAAAGGCAATTTCGAATTGTACCTCTAAGGGAGTGCTGCAGTTGAACCAATAACCATTTGCTTGGCTGTCGTCGTGTTAATTGAATGCACGAGCTAATTGTCTCCTCTCATACTAGTATTTCGGACACGTAAACAACAGTTTGCCATGAAGTTTGGAACCGATCCAGAGAAAGGGAGTAAAGGTGTGAGGGGGAGAAGACAAGACAAAGAGAGAGGAGAGCCGGGCAAAAATCCCCGTACCATCTCCTCTCCAACACAAAAAGTAGAATTTTTATTAGGTACTTGACCTGCCATGTGAGCGCACCCATCATGGCAAAGGTCGAATTAACAACAACAAGACCTCACTGATACTCACAATTTTACCTTTGATCTGCAAGTACAGATGCATCCCTATAATCCGCATCCTATAGTCCATATAGACAATAAATTAAGTTATGGCAATCATCATCAACGCTGCTGATGTCCATTTCTCGACAGTCAAAGCGTGCAACGATCCAAATAGCATCGCCGAAAACAACGGAATCACCGTAAATCCGAAGAAACCTTTATTGTTCCTCATCAAGAAACAGACTGCAATTCAGAACAAAGCAAGATCTCTGGTTGCTACGGGATTTATCAGAAAATTAGAGATTAGAAAAGTCCGGATGAATCTTTACCTTCCTCGATCCTCTACCAAGCGCATGAGATCCAGCCGACTTAAATATGGAATCTTTGCTTCGCCACCGGCAACGGGGACGAAGATCGAACAACAGAAACATCGTTACTCTGGTCGATCTCGATGAACGAGCATACCAAAGGAACAATTCGAATCCATAACCAAATGATAGATCGGAAAACGATCTCCTCAAATCTGAATATGAAATCCGGAAAAGAGAAGAGATTAAGAGGATCTGGATAAAACAGAGATGGCCAGAGAAATGAACAGTAGAGATGAGGACATGGAAATGAGAAGCCCGATAAATGTAATTTATTGAGGTAGTGGAATGAATGGACGGTCTAAGATGAAACGGCTTGGTAGACATTTATCGGTTTGGATACGCGGGGACCGTAGATTGCGGTAAACAATTTAACGTCGAATATGGAACGACTGCTTATCTTTCTTCTTTTTTCCCTCGTTACTAGGACACAATTAGGGGTGGGCTTAATACAACCGAACCGAAAAAATTGGCCGAATCGTGAATTTCGATTTAATTGGTTTTTCGGACGGTGCACGGTTTTAAAATTATTAATTTTTGGTTTTTTGGTGCGGTTTACGATTTTTGTATTTCGATTATCGGTTAAATCGAAAAACCGAAATTCACACGTGTTAGTCGTCTCCGAAACCAAAAACTAAACCGTGTCTTATATCTTCCACACAAGTCTTTTCGATTCTTCCTTTATGCTATCTTGTCTTAGGCATTTAAACATGCCAACAACTTCTTCGATTTGTTGCGATGCATCTGACCAAACCTTTTTTTCATGCACTTGTGATATCTTAAAAGAAGTTATTAAACATGCCAATACGCAATAACACAACACAACTACTGTTTCTTTCCTTCCAGCTCTTCAAGCAGAGACAAACATTGAAAATCATCTGAACCATCAAATTGCAAATGTACGCATTCAACTTTTTCCACGCTCTCAAAATCATAGTCAGAGAAAAAAATGAAGTAGACCAAAGCTGAACAATAAATTCAGAAACCTCTTTTCCCTTGCCTTAATACTACAACTTATGAACTGGCTTCTCATCCCTTATTGTTCTACTTACGATCCGTCTTCCATATTATCCAGTCGACTAGAAATGTAGAAACGTGAGTTAACTTTTTAAAAGTCTCAGACTAGTTGTTATCAAATCTTTTGTTAAGAATTTTACAAATTAGGCTGTTGTTATAAGAACGATTAGTGTACAATATTTTATAGGAGGCTTCTGGGATTAGACTTCTAACCAATTCAATAAGATCAGTGTACAATCTTTTCTTAAAACCAGCATTTCCAGAGAAGCATAAAATTGTTTTGAATCGTTTAAAACCGAAAAAATAAACCGGAAATAATCGAACCGAACTTTGAAAAAATCGCACCGAACCGTAAATACTTTGGTTTGCGGATAAATCGAACCGCACTTTCATAATAACCGAACCGACCGACGCTCACCCCTAGACACAATAACTTTGAGTACTCCTTTTTTTTTGGGCCAAGTGCTTTAATATATACGGAAAAGGGTCAGAAATGCCTTTAACGTATTAGAAATGGCTCAAAATTGCCCTCATTCCACCTGTTGGTTCAAATTTGCCTTTAATGTTATTTTTAGGCTCAAAAATACCCCTCTCCTAACGGAAAGATGACATGGAATTGATGGGCATTTTAATTGACATGTGGCATTTATTTATTGGTCAATGAAAACCAACTCATTATAGTACCGAGTTTCCACAAACTATTCTTGCTCCGAGCTATTATTACTTTCAGAAAAGATACTACCACCCTTATCAAAATTCAAAAGAACTTATCAGAAAGATTAAAATTAATTTACATTCTATTAAAGGAATGTAAGAGTAATTAGCAGAAGGCCAGGAGCAAGTACTTGAGATTGGAGAGATCGGAGATTGTCAAGTTCCGGAATAGGGAAGTCTTCTAAAGGGTTGTCGGCGAGACTGAACAGGTTCACTGCGGGTAGGTTAGGCGAGTCTTTTAGATGCTTGAGCATCGAACAGGGCTTTGACTTGGTTGGTGATTTGGAGCTGCTAATGTTATAGATTTTTTCCAACCCAACCCAACCCAAAAGATCCGACTCATCTTTTAATAATCAATCCTTCTAAAATAACCCAATGTTTCTGAAAACCCCATTAGCGATTATTTTCTTCTCTTTTGTTCCAAATAGGGTTCTTTCCTCTTCTTCTTCCTTCCTTGATTTTCCATCTGCTTTCTGAGTTAGGTTTTTGTATATTTCAGTTCTTCTAATGTTTTGATACCAATTCTTTTAATTTTGTCTTAGTTCTTTTAATTCTTTAATTTAAGTTAATTTTCTGATTCCAATTCTTTTAATTTTCTTTTTTAGTTCTAATATTAATGTAGCTTAATTGTGACAGTTGCTGTGTTGGTTAAATTGTATTTAATGTATGGCTGATTCTATCATATCATGGAAGGAAGGAAGACGAGGAAAATAAGAACCTTAAAACAAGAGATACTGGGTCAGAATAACGAAGCTTTGCTTATGTTACCAGGCGAAAACAAAATTACTGTCAAGTTCATCTGCTCATTGTTGCAGCCAAGATGTGGTTTTGATTATCTAAAAAGGATGGATTATTAAAAGATGGGTCAGATCTTTTGGGTTGGGCTAGAAAAAATCTATGTGGAATACTAAATAAATGCCACATATTCTATTAAAATGCCCATCAATGCCATTTCATATTTCCATTAAGAGAAGAGTATTTTTTAGCCTAAAAATAACATTAAGGGCAAATTTGAACCAATAGGTGGAAGGAGGGCAATTTTGAGCCATTTCTAATACGTTAAGGGCATTTTGGGCCCTTCTCCGTAATATATATATATATATATATATATATATATATATATATATATATCGCGCAATTCAAATTTTTATTGTCGTTGCAGAATTTGTTTTTTTTTTATCTTTTGAGTAAATTAAAATTTAAAATCAAACACTTTGTTAAGAAATAAAAGCAAAGTAGAACAATATAGTAATAGAGACAAGAAGTATATGAGGAGAATGTAGAAGTTATCTTATTCAAGTGTGTTTCTTGTGTGTCCTTCGCAGGATAAAGAATACCCTATTTATAGGATATAAGATAGATGAAAGCTTACAAGAATACACCTAAAGGTTATAAATATTAAGTGATGAATTAACTAAATGAACTCAAATGGTTCATGGAATAGGGGTGTCTAGGAGTATTCAATGGACATCCACTTTAATATATTCATAACACTCCCCCTTGGATGTCTATCTAAAAGATAATATGCCTCGTTAAAACCTTACTAGAAAAAACTCAGTGGAAAAAAGTCCAATAAAGGAAAGAGAGTACAGACATCTTGTAATACGCATTGAGTGCTGCCTCATTAAGAATCTTACCGAAAAAAACCCACTTGGGACAAAACCTTGGTTAAGGGAAGAAAAGTACAACGCATATTATACTCCCCTGATGAAAACTTTATTTGATATCTCGGAGATGATGCATTCCAATCTTATGTATCAACTTCTAAAATGTTGATGTTGGTAATGCCTTAGTGAACAAATATGCTAGATTATCACTTGAACAGAATGTTTGAACATCTATCTCACCATTTTGTTGAAGATCATGTGTGAAAAAGAACTTTGGTGAAATGTGCTTTTTCTGTCTCCTTTGATATATCCTCTTTTAAGTTGAGCTATGCAAGCAGCATTATCTTCATACAATATATTTGGAATATTCGTTTTTAAAGAAAGACCATACAGTTGTTGAATGTGTTGAGTCACTGATCTCAACCATACGCATTCTCGACTAGCCTCATGAATAACTATTATCTCTGCATGATTGGAAGATGTAACAGCTAAAGTTTATTTTGTTGGCCGCCATGAAATAATTGTACCTCCACAAGTAAATAGATAGCCTACTTTAGATGGGGCTTTATATGGATCCGACAAATAACATGCATCTGCATAGCCAATTCTTTGTGAATCAGATTCACAAGAATAAATTAATCTCATATCATAATCCCTCGGAGGTATCTAAAAATTTGCTTAACACCATTCTAGTGTCTTGTTGTTGGAAACGAACTATATCTTGCTAATAAACTTACTACAAAAGTTATATCGGGTCGAGTATTATTTACAAGATACATTAGCCCCAATTGCCCTAAGATATGGAGCTCCATCACCAAGAAGCTCTCCATCATTTTTATGAGGTCGAAATGGATCTTTATTTATATCAAGTGATCTCACAACCATCAGGGTACTCAATGGATGTGCTTTATCCAAATAAAAACGCTTTAGGATCTTTTCGGTATAAGTTGATTGATGGACAAAAATTCCATCTTTCATCTGCTCAATTTGTCGACCAAGACAAAATTTTGTCTTTCCAAGATCTTTTATAAGTTGATAGTAGATTTATTTCAAGGTCTTAGGAGAAGTGCCATCATTTATTTTCACTCTTGAAAAAGAAGAATGATTTTCATGGACTCCGAAATGCCAGCAAACATTGAAAGAACTAAAAGGTACCTTTCTAGCCCTCTGTTGTTGTAACTATCGAAGGAAGGTGAAAAATTGTTAATTTATCTAGGTTTGGTTGTGGTGAGTGCAGCTCTGATCCGAGAAGAGGAAGGTACGTAATTTCCTGTTTATTATGTTAGTTAAATTTTATCGGGAGCGGAGACACATTATCCGAACCTCAAAAGTTAGTCCTAGCTCTCGTAGTCGCCTCTCGAAAGCTTAGACCTTATTTTCAATGTCATCCTATAGTTGTTGTGACGACTTTTCCTTGAGAAACGTCATTCATAAACTTGAATTATTTGGCCTTATTGGCTAAATGGGCAGTCGAAGTTAGTGAATTCGATATTGAACATAAACCCAGGACGGCAATCAGGTCACACGTTTTGGCCGACTTTGTGGCTAATTTTAGTCCTCGTATGATGCCTTTAGATTCTAAGGAAGAAGTTTTAATATCAGAAACTGGTTCTTGTGTATGGACATTTTTTACGAATGGGGCCTCCAACGTAAAAGGATCCGGTCTCCGGATAGTGTTAATCACTCCTTCTGGAGAGACCTTGAGACATGCCATTATAACTGTGCCCTTAACTAATAATGAAGCCGGGTATGAGGCTTTGGTTGCAAGACTTGAAATAGCCCGGGGACTAGGCTCCAAGATGATTGAAGATTCCCAGTTGGTAGTAAACCAGGTATACAGAATATTTAACGTCAAAGAGGAGCGCATGCAATAATACTTAAATAAGGTATAAGTTCTGCTTTTTCGGTTCTGAGAATGGTTGGTGATTCATATCCCCAGGGAAGAGAACTTGGAGGCGGATGCATTGGCCAATTTAGGATCGTCAACAGAAATGAAAGGAACTGATTCCGGTGCAGTTGTTCAACTGTTGCATTTAGTGCTAGACGTGGACGATTATTGCAAAGTAAACTCAACCAACCTTATTTGGGATTGGAGAAATGAATTTACAGAGTATTTAAAA